CCTGTGGTGCTTCGTCCACAACCCAGTCATCCATTGGATCAATCTCTTCACTAATAACATCGCTTCTGAAACCAGATCGTTTGTTTTGCACCTGCAAGTTGTAATGAACGAACGTTAAGTCCCTCAGTCTTTGTTGCTCGATAGGGTTCCTTCTATCCGTGAGGAGCTTCTCAGCCATACTCCTCTTCAGGCCATACCTAGATGCGCCATCACAGGTTTGGCTCAGAATTCTGACGGCAAGTCCTTGCAGCTCAGGACATTGTTTCCCATAGGTACACCACCATTGAGCTGCATTTAAATTTACAGGGGCGTCGAAGTTAAAAACTTAGTTCATGGCCAACTCAATGAAGCAATCAAGATTTGAGGGAAGGGGGTAAAAGGAAACAAAACGAAGGAATAGCCTTTACCTGGAGAAATATTGGTTCTTTTGACAATTGCTTTTCCCTCTTGAAAAGCTCCTCTAGCATGTCTATACTCGTCAAGCTGAAATGTTATTTTTAGTTGAGTGCGCTGGTCTGCCACCATACGAACAACGCAACATAACAGCCCGAATGTAACCTCTGGGTCACTGTAGAAATCAGATGAATAGAAAAGACATGGGTTTAAATAATAACCAGCTGCATGTAGAGGGCTATGGAGATGCGTATCCCAGATGTCATCTATTGCTGTCCAAAAAGGCGTATAATCTGATTTCTTGTTTTTGAATTCCTTTTTAATTGTCTCTTTTACTTGATCCATGGTTTCATATATGAATCCCACTTGCGGTTTATCTCCCTCGTTAACCAAGCAAAGAACACGCAGCAGTGGCACGGTTGCTTTTGAGGCCATCTCAGCTCCACTCCAGAAAGAGGGATCCCCAACCAGACGAGCCACTCGCATTCCCTCCGCAGTAGAAGACCAGACTGAGGTCTTCCACTCAAATGAATAAAACATTTCCTCCAAGTTCTTCTTTTCTGATAGAATATTCTCCAAGGTGAAGAACGGCATAGCCAACTTCATCTTGGAGGGCTTTATCAAGTCGTAGACATCTATATGATTTCTCGTAAGTTTCAAAACTTTTTTATGTCCATAGATGAACTTCGTAATGATCTTTGCCTTTTCCAGTGTTCTTCTGATGGAATCCATTGCCCCAATTTTTTCCAGCATGAGCTCAATGCAATGAGATGCACTCACACACCAGAACACACACCAATATCTTTGCATAAACTGCTCGCCTACAGCCCCCACCCAGCCTACTGTAGAAAAAGCTACAATTTGAACTACGTTGTCAATCCCAACCTCCTCAATAACTCCTTCCAGCAACAACTGTAAGGCATTCACATCATCAATGATAGCTGAAACATCAGCTGAGCGGAGATAAGTTGGACCCCCAGGGCATTCCACAACAAAACTAACCAGGTTGCGACCCTTCTCGTCAACCCATCCATCCAGCAAAACACTGCACCCAGTGCTTGCCCATGAACGACTAATCTCGTTCACATATCTTTTCATCTCCTCTACTTCATCATGGAGGATCCACCCTTTCAAATCTTGTAAAGAAGGAACCTTATACTCTGAATGACCATCATCAAGACTGGCATTTATCATTCTCTGGAAGCTAGGCAAAGTGGAAGCACTGAAATCAAAACCCGTTTCGTAAAAGAATCTGCCAATGCATCTTTGAGCTTGCCTTGGCATTACATTTTCCTTTGCTCCACTACTCATGGCTCTTGTTCTATTATTAACTGAAACATGTTCAGTCATATCATCTTCTACCACAGAGTGCATCTCTGCATGCATTCCACTCCCACAACCTGTGGTTTGATTGCCATCCCGCTTGTTACGCTTAGCAGCATTCAAGTCAGGGGAGCAATATCTCTTCCAAGGGAGATCTGGGTGATACAGATTCTGAACTTCATTGTCACGACTCGCTCTTTTAGTTTCTAACAACATGCTTCTGAATGATTCCCTCACATTTTCGGCGACCTTTTCACATGGCACTACATCCCCTCGTATACCTCCTACGTGGTACTTAAGACGGGAGAAACCACTCAGTACTTTACCACAGTAATTGCATTGAACTCTTTTCTTTTTCTCATCAAGAGCAGCACCATGATCATGAATATTAATGGACACTTCACCAGCAGTCATCACGTTAAATTTAAGAGAAGAAGGAAATTCTTAAAATTGCACAATCTGAATTTAGAGAGAGCCCTCAATATGTGCAATCAGCAAGCTTCCACTGCAAATCCACACAAAACAACTCAAGGGAATACAATTGCAGAAATCAATAGACCTGTCAAGTAAAGCCCATTTGGTACAAGCACATAAGAAATTAGACCAAAGAAGAAAATTTTCTTCGTTAGACATAAAGGCCTAAACTTTACACATCAGAAAGTGAAAGTAGAAGAAGAAAGCCTTTTGGGGCTAACAATAACTAAGATTAAAGCTTACCCACAAGAAAATATGTATAAATGAGAAGAAACAGCATGGTTTTCCACATTCAAGAGACCAAAACAACGGAGAAAGTGGGGGAAAAAAGGTACCTTTTAGAGTCCAGACTTCGAAAGCTAAGAGAGTGGGAAATACTCACAAAGAAGAAGGACTGAGAATTTATCTCCAAGAATCTACCACTCGGTCGGCTTTTCTTTCATTTGCAGCAAGAGAGTGGGAAATACTCACAAAGAAGAAAGACTGAGAATTTATCTCCAAGAATCTATCACTCCGTCGGCTTTTCTTTCATTTGCAGCTTCTCTCTCTCTCTCATTTCTGCGTGTTCTCTAGTCTGTAACTGTAAAATGGTTTCGACTGGGAATCCCGAGGGCATTGAGGACACGTGCTTGAATCTATGTTGAATTATGTTCTGTCATTAAGTCCTAACCCAACTCCACTCGAATAAGATTAACGCGCCACCAGCTGATGAGGTGTTGCCATTTGGAGGCGCTGCGGTTTGATCATGGCAATTGGCAGGTGCCGTGTGTAACAAACAGCACAAGCGACACTACTTTTTGAAAGAAATGCTAAAATCAGGCCCTTTACCATGCAATATACATAAATAAAACATCGGTAGTATTAACAGGGTGGTTGAATAATCATGTTTATACAGTTACAGACCTGATATATCTTTTGTTTTGGTACATATTTTTTCTTACCAGTTCATCTCATTATGAACTAGTTCTCCCTTCCTACCTTGTTGGTGAGGCTGGCTTTGTATTCCAATGGCCCCAGAAATCAGAAACGATATTCTTAGACAATGAAACTGAATCATGAAAAGGAACAAATCTGCTCGGAGGAACTCAAGATAGTTAAATCCAAAAGATAACGTTTCTGCAGGCAACGTACTAATTGGAACCAGTAGTTCTCACAAGAAAAATTAAATAACTAAAGCAATACTAACATCCACTGAGAAATGACCCCTCAAGGATCCTATTCCTTCCCTTGGTTGCCTGCCTGCATTATTTATGTCCATGCAGAATTAGAGTGATGATGTTGAAAGATCTTCATTTGATTCCCTTTTGGTACGATATTGCCACCCGCATCCCCTGGCAGTCCCTGTTTCCAAGATGGAACTAGCATTGTATAGGTGCAGGATTAACAAGTATCAGCCACAGCTAACAAAATTAGATGCGATGGTTCTATTCCTTTTTTTCCTTTCAGTTGCATGGGATTAGCACCGAACTAAAAAGTTTGGTCCTAATGACTTGTATGAAGCTCGGTAAGCAAGAAATGAGTTCGCTTCAAAATGGTGGGAAACTTACCAGGAAGTAGTGCCTGTGAGTAAGCCTGCAATGACAATAGAGACTCATCAAGCCTTCCAGCAGCATCAAACCCCTGGTGTCCATTAATAGGTGCCCGAGGCGTGTGCCCGCATGACATCACAAGCTAGATCAAGCATGATATCATCAATATTATTATTTCATCTAAATATTATTAAAATATATTAATAATTTTATTTAATAACAAAATAAAAAATAAATAAAAACAAAATAACATTCAACAAAATTAAAGCTCAATTACGAGAAAATCAAGCACTAAACAAAGAACCAAGTAATCGGTATGCTAAATTTATGAAATTGAAATAACAATATATTAAAAAAAAAATCTCAGTTCTCAAATAAACTAAATAAAAGAAAAACTGAAAAAAAAAACAATTAAAAAACATTAAAAAAAACTCGAGTCAACCTGAATTAACTTAACTAACCTGTGATACGGAATCTAAAATCAGAATAACTTTATAGAAAAAAAAATCACTAAACCCAAAGCCTAACAATCTAATATAGATAAATAAAGTTGAAAAACATCAATTTAGAAAAGACTTAAAAATAAAAATTAAATCAAGCTAATATTTGAAATTTATGATCCATGTAATGAGATTGAAATTACCCTATGAAAGATAGACACAAAAAAAATCATAAAATAAAATTCTCAATCATCAAAGTATCAAGGAGTGAAATTGAAAAAAGATATAATTTTAAAAATAATTAAAAAATAAAATAAATAGCAATAAACAATGAGGGATGAAATTGAAAAACTAAAATAAATCAAGAAAATGATAAAATAAAATAATAACAATCAAAAAAATATTATCAAATTGGATAAAAAAATTAAATGAATTCAAATGTTGAGAAATGAAATTGAAAAATAAATTTAACTTTAAAAAATATTATAAGTAAAATAAATAACAATTAAGATGATGAAAACCAAAATTAATATAAATATAAATTAAAGTAAAAAAAAAAAAAGCTAGATGCCGCCCAAAAATCATAAGTATATCCCACATGTTGACAGATATATTACACACCAGTTAATTTTGATTTTAAAATTATATTTTATATTTATTAAATTATTAAATTATCATTAATCAACTTGATAAAACCCTACGTTGAAAATAGGAGGCAAAAAAAAGAGAGCGACTGGTTGTGTTTACGCAGGAAACATAATAATAATTGCAACCCATAATAGTGAAGTAGTTTGCGCTAAAAGTAAGCATGGCAGCAACTAGGGATATCTAACAGGCCCCGGCAATTCGAAATGCTAGTTTTTCTTTTTATTCAAACAGCTAAAATGTCATGAGATACAAATCAAGCAACTCTCAATTCAATTATACTATTTTACAAGGGATCGAAGGTCTACAGACTTGTATTATCTTGGAGACTTCCAAACAATTGAGACTAGCGAGTACTGGTAGCCGCAGCAAGGCCAATGTTGTTATACAGGAGGATCTTCAACCACAGCATCTTCTGATGCTGATTCTGACTTTTCTTCAAGACGGATCCTTTTCTCGGATGTTTGTTTTTCAAAATTATCACTGTCAGCTGCTTTATGCTTTGATGAAGGCAGGGGTGATGACAATTCAATTTTAGACTCAGCAACAGCTGACGGGGAAGGAGGTGGCAGCTCAGAATCTTTAGGTGGATTGGTTGATGCTGACAGGTTTTTGGGAGAAAGTAAGGCACTGCCAGCATTCTGCTGCTCTATTATCTTTTGCAAATACCTAGCATGTTCCTCTATCCGTAACTGCAGAGTTCTCTGTACCTGCGTAAAGAATATAGGAACAAAGAACAAGTTATCCCAAAGGGGAAGATCAAAGATCTGCATCCAATGCATGTCTATGGAAATTATGAGAACAAATCCATCCACCACAAAGAAGACTGATCTGCTTATATGAATAAAGGTAAAAGCAAACTTATCCCAAGCCCTAGGTCAAAATCTTGTTCGAGAAATTGCCTTAAAGCTGCATTTATATTGTACTGTATATTCTAGTTTGAGATCCGATTCTTCATTAAAACAAAACAAACACGCTATTTTCGCCATCAAAGTAAGTTTACAGTGAAAACTCAGACATGACACTACAAGAATTAGTTTACAACAGCTCGTATGAGGGAAGGGAGGACAAAAGCAAACAAGGAAGAGGCTCGGGAAGAGAAGGATGAACAACTACAATGAGGTAATGGCCTCAACCCAAAGCTTTCCCCAAAAGTAATCAAGCAATTATTTCAGTGTTGTCCTGACAACGAGGAAACAAGAATGGATAGTCCCAGGAGTATAATAGCAGGTGCAACCAATCTATGGGATCAACTACGAGAGAAAGAAGATAGAAACCAAACGGTAGTCACAAGTGAGGTGCATAACATACCTCAAGTTGTTCATGTAGCTGCTTCTGGACTTCCATTTGCATGCGAAGAGCTTCAGTGATTTGAATTGTCCTAGACATGAAAAGAGTGTAAATTTTCTACACATTGTTTGACAGAACAAAATGCCAAGATGTCCACGTGAAATTGAAAAGGCAAAATAGACTAGTACTAACCCTTTTTTCTTCACATCACCGTCAATGTTGATTGAAGCCACTTTCTTTTCTTCAGAGCAAGAAGCTTTCTTCTCTGTACAGAAAGGGGGGAAATCTCAACAATTCAGAAAGAAAATTGGAAAAAAAATAATTATCCTTGCATGCATATATAAAAGCAAAAACAGATCAAAGAACCCACAAAAAATGCCATTTAACTATAGCACTAGTCAACAATGGCACAGAATCATGCACATATTGAGTTATTCCTTAAGAGGATTTTGGTAATGATGATGATGGCAATGATAAGCATGACTTCTTTAAGATTATGGATTCATCACCTTCCTTCTTTTCCGGCAAATACTTGGCAAGTCGGTATTTCTGAAAAACAAAAAACAATAAAGGGAAGGTAAAAAACTTTACAAATAAAGCATGCGCAACTAAGTTCACAATGACTAATTCAGATTGGATGGGAAAGTCTAAATATAACATAGATTGAATACCTGTAAGTGGCTTTTCACATGATAGATGGTCAAACCTTTAACGTTCATAAGCTTTAACACACCCTTTGGAGTAGCCTCTACATTTTAAAGCAACAAGGAAACCTTATATATAAAAATAAATCCAAAGAGCCCGTTGAGGTGTTGTCATGGTTCAAATAATTCAGTGGTTCAAGCCTCCTATCACAATAGGGACCTTTGAATGAAAAGCACAAAGCCTAAATCTTTTGGTAGACTAGGCAACACAGGTTACTCACTTTCAGCCCCATCAAGCTTATTGACAGCCTCTACAAAGCGTTCGTGAAGCTCAGGCGTCCATCTCATCCTTGGCTTGTGTGCAGTGGATGAACCAGGGGAGGGGTGGCTTGAAAGTGCGTCAACGGAAGGAGAGTCCTGGTTGCATGCGAATCCTGTAGCTGGTTTCGATGAAGTTTCAGGAGTTCCATATATTTCCTAGAAAACAGATCCAAAGAGAGGCATAAATTAGTCGAAGATGATGCAGCAGTCCATCATACGCGAGTCTAAATGTAAAAAAAAAAGTAAAAAAGGACCCTGTTTTCTGCATTGAATTGGGAGAACTTGCATAAAAAAGAGAAAATCTATTTATTTATTTATTTGAGCTGCAGAAAATCTGATCTTCAGTCATCCATTTTTCTTTAATTAGCAGACAAGCATGTAGTCAACCAATAGAACCCAATATTGATTAAGATATTGATAGTGGGGGATACTCGATCTATTCAATTCTAACCATAATGAGTATAAACACCTCGAGAATTTCTTTTTTGGTCCTATCTTATCAACTTTAAGGTGAATGAAGTTTGGAAAGAAAAGAGACCCTTAAAATATAGATGATTCCTCTGGTTGACGATACAATTACAGTACAATAAAAGTACTTTCAGTGCATTCAACACAACCAGAATCTGATTGATGATTGCGATAATCCACTTACATGAAGCCCGGGGTTTTCTCCGTGGTCTGTGATAGCTATTTCAAGTTCGTCAGACAAAAACTGCAGCTCCAATTGCTCTGTTAGTTCTAAATTGTCACCTGTATAGTTCATACCATGAAAGCTTCCCTCAGAAGCATTTCCAGACAAATTAAGAAAGTCTTTCATAAAAGCAGCTGAATGCTCCTCGTCGTACTGATTGCTTAAATCCTCACTGAAAAGCAGGGGAGATTTTGTTGAATCAGTGGCAGAAACGGAGTGGCTGTATGTTGGAGGATGTGGGAGAAACGGCAAATTTCCGAGCTGTCGATTAGTTTCAGAGATCGATGAAGATGACAGATATAAACTTGTACAGAAGACAGAAGAGCGTTGAAATGTGCTCTTAGTACTTTGGACATGGGAAGTAGGGGAAAGAGGGCTGTCTGGTCCAAATTTCAGACAATACATTTGATGTTGGGCTGTAGACAGTTCCATTTTACTTGGAGAACCGAGAGATTCTGCCTGTATCAACGGGGATGGGCGGGGAGAAGAAGATTCACCTGTCAATGAAGTTTGACAATCTGATTTGCCGCTAAGAGAATTCTGGACTGGAAATAAGGTTGTGCAAAATGGTTGTGTGCCTCCTTTACTGGTCTCACTTTTTGTTACCGATACGACAGCATGATGATTCATGATGATAGCCCAAACTTCATCTACCTTTCACACAATCATATACCATACCCCAAAATCCGGTAGAAAAGCTTTAAGGATGGAAATGATAGAGCTAGAGATGCAGGGTTGGAATTTTAGCAATGTTTATTTCCGGAACACTTTTCTCTCTTCGATCAGCACTGGGGTGTTACATTTCTGTAACAAAAATTAGCTTCAGCAATCGTATGTTTATGATTGTAAGCTCACTCCAGTAACAAGATCTGCCCATCAGTTATCTGCTAAATTTTACGGGCAGTTAAGCCACATGGTCCACACAGATCTTGAAGTGGAAGCATCACCATGAAGTCTCTTAGCTAAATCAATTGCAAACAATTTTCGGCTGAGAAAACTGCAAACCAGACAAGCAGTGCATCGATCAACACTAGAACCAAAAAACTGTATACAAGTTATAAAACAACGCAGCCACTAGACTGTTGAAAACCCGTGAGAATCCATTTTTCCTAGCTTAGCAGAGACATTTATAGAGTTCTGAATAGTTATTTGATAGGCAATCGATTATGTAGCATAATTGTAGAACAGTAATTTAAACACGGACAAAATAGCCACATCAGTAATTAGCAAGTACAGCATGCCCAAGCTGCCTCCAAGTCACAGGGCAGAGTACAGTTCCATCACGAAATAATATCTAGAATCACCTGTACATCAAAGACTAGCAACTCATTATAGAAGCGCACCATAAGACTTATAAGCATTAGAAATTATTTGTCATTGTCAACTCCTACCTGAACCCTAAACTAAAACAACAAAGTATATTGGTACTACATTAGACAAGGAATTAAGACTGAATAGGAAGAAAAAAACTAAGCAGCAGAGCAATCTCGGCTTTTCTGCTGTCCTGAATTCTATGATTACACATCCACAACTAAGGTATCTCAAGTATCGTGTCCTTTTGCCCATGGGATTAGTCGTGGCACGCAAGCTGGCCCGGACACTCACGTTAATCTAAAAAAATATCGTGTCCTTTTCAGACATCCTCCCTCCATAAGGATTCTTGTCACACTGATGTAAGCATCTCCAGCACCAGTATGGTCCATAAACTGGTTGCAGAAAAAAACTAGAAGAGGGTTCTCCAAAGGATTTTGTATGGACACATTCCAAACCCTTTGAGAAGGTCTCTATTAAAACCAATTAGTGATGATAGTTAAGGACAACATATTCCCAGTCCTTGCTTTAATTTGCTTGAAAATTGGAGATGTTAATGATTCCTCACTATAAGAAACATGAGCCTGTTACCTGGACACTTGTAACAGCACACGACTGACAGATGAATAAGACAGACACCGGTCACTGTAGCACTGGCTACAGTGACCGGTGTTGCTTGGCCCCTGCCGCCAGCATAAACAAGGCGCCTCGGCTACTACCACTGCTAGCCTATAAAGTGAAGAGCATTAGCCCCTTCCCCAACCAACTCAGCCACCACCAGCAGACTTCCCAGCTCAAAGACAGTCGCTAGATTTACTTTGCCTCTTCACCAGCATAAAACACTTTTTTTTGTTAAATTTCATTTCAGATTGTAGCAAACACAGAAACTACAACCTGTATCGTTATCGTTATCTGTTAAAGCTTAAATCCCATGACAACTGCCACTAAACAAGCACGCAGGAACCTACTCACCAAGCTCTAACACACTTTTTAACTGCGACTCTAAGCAAAACCGCCACCTTCTTCTCCACCATGTCGGCATATACCAAAAGCTTTAAAATTATTTTATATTTCTTATTTAGTTAAGATAAAAGGACAGACCTAAATATTAACCTGATAGACAAGTGTCAATAAAACAGACCCCAAACTTTCTCAGACCACTAAGGATAAGAAAAGATTTCTTCTTCTTAAACAATAACTCAAAAACCAAACTAAGAAAGCATAAACACTCAAAATGAGAGAAACCCAAATAGAATTAAACTCATATAACAGAAAAGGAATTCAAAAGGGCACCAATTAATAAGCAAGGAAAAAAAAAAAACTCACAAAGACAGAGTTGAAAGACAAAATGTCATGATAGTAAGTCAGTCATACTTGTAGAGGAAATCAGACAACGAATCCTCAAAAGTAGGTGGTAAGATTCCATGCATCTATCTATGTCACAAGCAAGAAAAAGAACCGTTCATTAAAAAATCACCTGAGATTATGGGATCTTTTTTTCTGTCCTATTTTCGTTATGCTTGCTGAAGGAAGAAATTAACAGACAGATATACAAACAACAATGTTAAGGCGCTTTGAATCTAACGTTGTATGCTGTCCTGGGTAGAGAAGAAAAGGATACAAAACACAGGCTAAACTGGAATCCTAAAGAAACTGAAGGCAGGGCAGGGGTGAAGTATTTGAGAGAGATTTGGCTGCGGGGAATCAGTTTTTAAGTGGAGAAAGAAACTACAAGTTGAGATGATGATTGATTGCCTTGTGGAGATTACAGAGGTTCACAGGCCGTGGGAGTGAATGAGATACACGCACCAATGGCAGGTGAATCTTGGTGGCCTGTCTGTTCTGATGTGGGGTTTACTTGTGCCTGTGGGATCTTTATTCCATCATCTAAAATTAGAAACTTTTTGTGAGGCTTAGCTGAGCTCATCACCATCCTCTTGATTTCACTGTGTTGTCGTGTTTTGTACTTGGTGTGTTGCTCTATCTCTTACTGCTTCCCCCTTTGTTGGACTAACCTATCTCATCCTCGGCTCCTCCCCGTTGACGCCTGCCATTTTCACTTCTTCCCACTTTTTGTTGCTATCCTTTTTTTCTTCTTCCATGGGTGCGAGAAAATCTGTCTAAGCAGTATGTGATTTTTTTTGCTGAATGAAGATATATTGGGGCATATTATATGGCAATCGAAATTAAGATTTTTTTAGTACCTCTTGGAAACATGTTTTCTGTATTAATTTCTTGTATATTTAGAAAGGCTTGATAAATTATTCTAGATATTAGTTTCAAGTTTTGATTTTTTTTTAAAAAAGAGTAGCAAATATCGTTGGCTACCAAGTTAATCCCTTGTAGTTATAAGCTATGGTTATATTTAGCATGATTTTTGCAGATTGATTTAAGCTGCGTAGTGTATACTGCATGTGTTTGTTCTTGACTTGTTCTCATCGTAAATCATTCAAGAAAAAAATAATCTTTAAATTAAGAAATTGTAGCTGTAAAACTATGATAACAACCGAGTGTAAAAGGTTTTTTATAAAAATTTAAAAAAATAATATTAATTATTTTTTGATATGTTAATTTTAAAAATTATTAAAAAAATAAAAAATATATCATTTTGATATATTTCTGTATGAAAATGCTTTAAAAAATAACATCAACTATGCTCCAAAATAAATATAAAAAAAATTAAAAAAAAATATAATAATTTAAATAAATAAGATTGGAGTGATCAGAAAGTTACATGTAACTTGTGTTTTATATGATTTGTTTTAATTTAAGAATATGTTTTGTTGAGTAAAAATTACTTTGCTCGCTTTATAATTTAGTTGTTTTTACATTTATCCGTCATATTTTAAAGAATTATAATTTATAAATATAAAATAAATTAAATTATAAAAAGATATATAATATAAATTATTACTTGTTGAGTAAGATTTAGAATATAAAAATTTTATTTTATTTTTAAAAAGCCTAATATGGTAATAAAAAATTTAAGATCTGCATAACAGATCTCAGGTTCAAATAAAAACATGTATCTTTTATAAAAATCTAAGACAGAAAAATAAAAAATATATCATTTTGATATATTTCTGTATGAAAATGCTTTAAAAAATAACATCAACTATGCTCCAAAATAAATATAAAAAAAATTAAAAAAAAATATAATAATTTAAATAAATAAGATTGGAGTGATCAGAAAGTTACATGTAACTTGTGTTTTATATGATTTGTTTTAATTTAAGAATATGTTTTGTTGAGTAAAAATTACTTTGCTCGCTTTATAATTTAGTTGTTTTTACATTTATCCGTCATATTTTAAAGAATTATAATTTATAAATATAAAATAAGTTAAATTATAAAAAGATATATAATATAAATTATTATTTGTTGAGTAAGATTTAGAATATAAAAATTTTATTTTATTTTTAAAAGGTCTAATATGGTAATAAAAAATTTAAGATTTGCATAACAGATCTCAGATTCAAATAAAAATATGTATCTTTTATAAAAATCTAAGATAATTAAAATTTTATTAAATCACTTATATCTAAAAAATAGATTTTTTTAAAAATAAATTTTCTCGCTTCCAAATAAAAAAAAGATTTGGAATATAGATTTCAATTCTTGAAAACATTGTAAAATAAACTAAGGTTTTTTTTTTTTTTTCCCTTTCGTGAATTAAACTATTTTTGGAAACCCTACGGCATGCAGTCCTGTGACGTATGACTCACAGCAGACAAAATAAAGTATTCGTCCTTGACCGAGGGCGCCAGGCAAGCGAATGACTACATGGCCTCTCCGATCTTCCATGAATTCATCATACTAAACAAAACACACACTCGATCGATATATATATATATATAAAATTAAAAGAATCAAAACCGCATTTTTTTATAAAAGAATTCAAATAACAAGTTAATAGCTGGCTTTTAATCGGGTCACTTGATCAACTTGAATTTTAAAACGGGTCACTGAATTTTTAATTTTTTTACTTTTTTATTCAAACCGGTCAGTGATCGGACCACGTGTATTCCTGCCGTGACATGGCCAGCCTCGGTAAATCAAATAGCTAGATAGTTCCAAGTTCTTCATCACGTGAAGACATCACGGTTTCTCACACCATTGGACGGACTGTACTGGATCCAGACATTTTTTTTAGATTTTTTTTAAATATATTAAAATAATATTTTTTTATTTTTTAAAATTTATTATTAAAAATAAAAAAAATTAAATCTTTTTTTTTTAAATGAATATAAAAATTTTATTTTATTTTTAAAAGGTCTAATATGGTAATAAAAAATTTAAGATTTGCATAACAGATCTCAGATTCAAATAAAAATATGTATCTTTTATAAAAATCTAAGATAATTAAAATTTTATTAAATCACTTATATCTAAAAAATAGATTTTTTTAAAAATAAATTTTCTCGCTTCCAAATAAAAAAAAGATTTGGAATATAGATTTCAATTCTTGAAAACATTGTAAAATAAACTAAGGTTTTTTTTTTTTTTTCCCTTTCGTGAATTAAACTATTTTTGGAAACCCTACGGCATGCAGTCCTGTGACGTATGACTCACAGCAGACAAAATAAAGTATTCGTCCTTGACCGAGGGCGCCAGGCAAGCGAATGACTACATGGCCTCTCCGATCTTCCATGAATTCATCATACTAAACAAAACACACACTCGATCGATATATATATATATATAAAATTAAAAGAATCAAAACCGCATTTTTTTATAAAAGAATTCAAATAACAAGTTAATAGCTGGCTTTTAATCGGGTCACTTGATCAACTTGAATTTTAAAACGGGTCACTGAATTTTTAATTTTTTTTACTTTTTTATTCAAACCGGTCTAAATCATCAACCCGCAAAAGTGATCGGACCACGTGTATTCCAGCCGTGACATGGCCAGCCTCGGTAAATCAAATAGCTAGATAGTTCCAAGTTCTTCATCACGTGAAGACATCACGGTTTCTCACACCATTGGACGGACTGTACTGGATCCAGACATTTTTTTTTGATTTTTTTTTAAATATATTAAAATAATATTTTTTATTTTTTAAAATTTATTATTAAAAATAAAAAAATTAAATCTTTTTTTTAAACACGCTTGAAATATAGATGCAAACAGCACCGTGTATCTAATGATGATAACGATGATCAAAAGCGAGACGCAATTCCGGAAATGACTGGAAGAAGAGATGTGGGCCCCCTAACATTTGTTTTCTAACTCAAGACACGCTGACATGCAATTGCCACTTGTTAATGACTTTTATTGTTAGTTCGGTATTTCTCTTTATTTTTTAAAATATTTTTTATTTAAAATATATTTTTTATTTTTTAAAAAATTATTTTCAAAATCAACGTATCAAAATAATATAAAAATATTAAAAAAAATACTAATTTCAAGTTAAACAATTAAAAAAATTTAAATTTTTTAAAAAATACTTTTAAAATACATAATCATTGACTTATCTAATTAATATCCACAATTATGCAATTGCCACTTGTTAATGACTTTTATTATTAGTTCGGTATTTCTCTTTATTTTTTTAAATTATTTTTTATTTAAAATATGTTTTTATTTTTTAAAAAATTATTTTCAAAACCAACATACCAAAATAATATAAAAATATTAAAAAAAATACTAATTTCAAGTTAAACAATTAAAAATAATTAAATTTTTTAAAAAATACTTTTAAAATACATAATCATTAACTTATCTAATTAATATCCACAATTACACTCTTAACTGGCTTGAATCGCTCACTCCTCCTTGCTCATTTCTTGACCATTCCTAGGTTCCCTCGTCGTCGCCAGTGCGTCTCTCTGATTGGCGTCACCTCCGATGTACCGGCTCCCCCTTGCTCTTACTCTATTTGTTCTCTTTTCTTTTGAAAACGTTTTTAAAAAGATTCAATTTTTTTTATTTGTTACAAATTAATTTTTTAAATATTTTTAAATTATTTTGATACACTAGTATTAAAAATAAATCTTAAAAATATTATTTTAGTATATTTTTTTAAAAAAATTATTTTAAAAAAATAAGGTGTAAATCAAGGACGAAGCCAGAAATTTTTTTTTGCCCTGGATTGCAATATAAATACACATAAATTATTTTTTAAAATTAATCGTTGACTTATATATATAAATTTATCAAGTTAACAATAAAGTTTCAATCCAAATACACAACACAGAATATAAAAATTAAATTAAATTAAAAATACATAAATTTGAAAATAAATTACATTACAAAAGTTGCACCCTTTGATACTTTGTATGATATAATTAATCTATAATTGAATTTAAATCAATATCTTTAACAAACTCTCGTTCAATGTAATTCATCATAAAACCCGCTAAGAACTCCTTTTTTATTTTATTGTGAAGCATGACTTTAACATATTTCATGGCTGAAAATGCTCACGTTGTAGTGTCGGTAAAAACAGGCAAAGTCAAAACAAAATGAATTAACCTGTTAATCAAATGATGTTATTGTGACTTGTTTGTTTTAGTTAATTCTCGATATAATTCAGAAATGATAGATATATTTTTAAAGCTTTTATGATGAATCATATCAATCTGATAATGCTTTAATTAAGATCTCAAATAATACATCTCTTATTAATTGAAATCTTCAAAATAAAATTTCTTAACAAATTTCTTGTTTATTATAAATAGCACTGGCCTTAAATGATTTCAAGTTGTTCATAGGTTCTA